CGCGGCCCGGCCCGGCCCGCGGCGTAGAAAAGCGGCGGGGAAGCAGAGAGGGAGGGCGAGCGGGCGGGCCCTGCGAGCCCTTAAAGGAGAGCGGCCGTCCTCCTCCCCCGGCGGGGAAGGCGGAAGAGCGAAGCAGGAGCAGCAGCGGCGGCGGCAACAACAACAACAACAACCGCCCCCGGCCGTGCCTGGCTCCGCTGCGGGTTTATATGCACCTGGGAGCATTACTGCTCGCCCTGGAGAAGAAAGAGAAGGGGCAGCAGCGTGACCGCGGCTCACCTTCCCCGGCCATGTGCTCGGTAAGCGAGGGTAGCAGTACGGACCCCTTGGTGGCCCGCTTCAAACAGGTGGAGGAGACGCTGGAGAAGCTGCACCGGGAAAACAGGAGCCTGAAGAATAAAGTGCCTCGGTACAACGCGCTCTGCACCTTGTACCACGAGTCCGCTCAGCAACTGAAGCACCTCCAGCTGCAGCTGGCTGCCAAGGAGGCGACCATCCGGGAGCTGCGGAGCAGCCTGGCCCGGCGGCAGCAGCAGCAGCCGCAGCCGGCGGCGGGCGGCGAGGCGGAGGCGGCGGGCGCGGAGCCGGCCCGCTCGCTGGTGGAGAGCCTGCTGGAGCAGCTGGGCCAGGCCAGGGAGCAGCTCAGGGACAGCGAGCGACTCTCGGCGCGACGAGTGGAAGCTCTGAGCCAGGTAAAACCGCGAATGCCTTCGGAAGAGCGCGGGCAGGCAGCGCCTCGCCTCGCCCGGGCGAAAGGGTGCGCGTAGAGCCGCGGAGCGGCAGCAGCGTGCACGGCGGGAGCCGCGTTTCCGCACTCGGCTCCAGCAAAAACGAGCGATTTCAGTGCAGTGAGCCCAGCGGTGGCTGTGGTGAACGGAGCATGCAGACGTTTTGCATTCAGACTGCTCACTCGCGTTTATGGAGACAGCTGATGGGGGTGCGCAGGCACCAGCCCCGACAACTTGGTTTCAGTGACTTGCCCACTGTCACGGCAAGTGGGTGGTGGCAGAGCCTGGACCAGAGACCAAATGTCTTGACCCCTGCAGTGCAATGCTTATCCAGCAGTAGTTCCCACTGCATTAAGTTCAAGGAGGTAAACCGTAAAGCCCTAAACCAAAAACTTAGCGTGGCATTATGAATCTTCATGCAACTATTTTCACAAGGAGAAGGAAAAATAATAAAACCCCCTAAATTTGCAAGTTCCGTATTACTTACTGAAGACCCTCCTCTTTATCAGATGCAACATTTTGTTCTGTAAGATAAACAACTGATGCCACTGCTTTTTCCGTTAAAGTGGTTTTTTTTAAAGTGCACTTAAAGATGGATTTTCCTATTGACATTAAGGCAGCACGTTAATACCTGGAGAAGTAACTGGCAAGTCTGGATTGTGAGGAGATAGATTAGGGAAATCGGTATCTTTCATGACAGGGAAAAAAAAAAAGTCTCTAAACTGCATCCCCTCCCATCCGCCACAAGTGCGATTTTTGTTACTGTCATTAAGACTTTCCCACGTTCAGTCTGAAATACTTAAAGAATTTTAAAGCATTTCTTTCTATATGAAGCCGCATAAAGGAATTTCCAAACCCAGAAGCAGTACTTAAAATTGAAACAAGTATTTTTGTCATAAGTAAGCTCTTGACCTAATGCTTATACAAAACATTTTCCATGTATGACACTCACCTAAAACACATTTAAAGAACTTCAAGTTTGGAAATTTGTAATAAGAGGTGATCTTACTGACACTTTGCAGACAGATGACAAACCTGTGGTATCTGAATATATTTTGAAGTCTGATGCTGAATGTCTTTATAGCAAAAGGGAAATTTAGCACAATGCTGAAAAATGTAAACATCAGTAATAAGAACAAGTACTGTTTCTGTAAGTTAGATACTAATTTTATTCTTTTTAGATAAAAATATTTTATGCCCAAATCAGAAACACTGAAATCATTGTCACTAAAAATAACACCATCAAAAAAGAGACATTTTGTGAAGTCAGAGGCCTATGTGCTGGCAAGGAAGAGTGTTCCCTGTGATTTACAGCTCCATTAGCGCTCCCGAAGAACTAGAAGGGTAGAGTCAAGCTTGTACCCGTCTCATGGTCTATGCTGGCATCCAGGGCGTCATTGATTCTGCAGGAGCCGTGCTGCAGAGGCTCCTGTTATCAGCATCCGCTACTTTTTGAGGATATCGAGCACAAGCTGTTTTTGACAAAGTCAGGACTGGTGTACTTCAGATGCATGGTACTACAAAGTGGTTTACCCCAGTCAGCAAGCAAACTTCTTCCTACTCCGAACACCTACAGAGACATTAACGTAATGCCATGCTGATGATCCCACAGAGCTTCCAATTCAACAAGAATGCGTGGCAACAAGATACACAGTTGTCTCCTAAGAGTATGTCCGACCTGCTCACATAGCTTGGAGAGTCAGCTATGGCCAAAATAGAGTCATTGCTGCCACATGGATTTAATTTTCTGTTTGCTTGTCCTTGTCACTCATCCTTTCCTAGGTGGGAAAGTTGCTGTGTATGCTCCCGCTGCTTTGTCCTTATGACAGTGCCAGGCAATGAATACGCTTCACTGGGTTTTGATAAGATGACTTTCCAGTTCTTCCCCCCCCCTCAGGAAAATCTTTACTATCTGGTAGTTAGAATGCAGGACCAGTAAGCATTTCTCAGTCTCAATAGTTATTCCTTTAATTCGTTTCTTGTAAGTTCCATCTTTAGTTTGTTGCTGCTGTCTATCTTTTCATAAAATCTTCCTGAATTTTGGCTGGTTGTTTCTTCATTCTACTGACTAGGAAATGCTTGTATAGCTCTCTGAGCAGTTCTTGATTTTGACTGATCGATCTGTCAGTTCCAAGGTCAAGTGATTATATAGAAATGAATTGGATTTCTTTTACTTTTTAAGTACTTTTGCAGTGAGTATAGGAACGATATGGCATTACTGCAGTATGGAATTCAGTCTTAGACATATTTTGGCTTTTGAGTTCACTTTGCTTTTAAATAACTTCCCCTCCCCCTTATGTTTAGGAAGTACAGAAGTTGAATCAGCAGCTAGAGGAGAAAAACGGAGAGATACAGCAGATGATAAATCAGCCTCCATATGAAAAGGAGAGAGAAATCTTACGACTTCAGAAGAGCTTGGCAGAGAGAGAGAAGGCTCAGGCCACCAGCGATGTTTTGTGCCGTTCACTCACTGATGAAACTCATCAACTTCAACGCAAATTAGCATCCACAGCAGAAATGTGTCAACATCTGGCAAAATGTCTAGAAGAGAAGCAAAGAAAAGAGAAGGGGAATTCAGATGACCAGATACCTACCGAAAGATCTAATCAGGTATTCTTACTGCTACTATGCTTCTTTGAAGTCTTATTAGCTTCTGAGATGTTAATTACAATGTGATAGTTGTAACTGGGGAGTGGTGAGAAACATCCCTTTAAATAATTTTGTGTAGGGTGAAAATACTACCATGGCAAGCTCTAAATAATTCCAAGTACCAAAAATTTAGGATGGAAGCAGTTGTCAGTCACTTGCATTTTGGCCGTCTCACTTATGTCATCATCAGAGTATTTTTTTGGAGAGGAGAGCATCTTGAGAGGTCCCTTCTAACCTCAGCAATTTGATGATTACCATTCTTCCCTGCATATACAGGAGACCGTACCTTCTTTATACCGCAGCAGGCTTCTGTGCATCACTAGATGGTGCTGCGCTTTTGAAGGTGGTATCTCCTGATTACTTGCTTAAGCAAGTAAATCACAAAACAAACTAGAGATATTTTAAAGTAGTGTTTATATGAAGAACTCTATAGCACGTGGTCTTCTCAGATCAGGATTTGGCTTTGCACACGCAGTACAGACCTATGGAAAGTTGGTTAGGGAAGAATGAGTCAAGGTGTCTTACCTTTTTTTTTTTCTTTGGCTCTGGGGTTCCCCCCTGGCATCCCAGTGCCAGGCAATGTTTCTCTCCAGCAGGGATGTTTAGAAAAATTGTTTCATGATAGGAAGGTGGCAGAAATGCTACTGAGGGGCACAAAGGAACACCTGGATTTTGGCATACTTTGCTAACAGCTGTATGACTTTGCTGCATCACCTTAGCTGAAGCTTTTCAGCATAGGGTAGAGGTAGATCATGTTATTCTGTTTTTCCAGAAGTCATGATGGTTCAGAGTTGTTAGGTAATTCATCATAATACCATAAGGAAATAACACTAGAGGTGCCACCCCCAATAACAGATCAGAGCATTGAGTAGGATGCTACAGCCAGTTCTCACAAAAAAAGAATAATTGTGTCTCATGTTCTTACTGCTACGTAGTGGTAATGCTGTGTTTCACATGACCACTCATCTATGCTTTTATGATAAACTATACATCGCTCACTTTGACTTTGTAAAACATCCCAGGAGTATTTCCAAAGAAAACTTATTCACAGAGTTACCTGTAAGAAATAGAGGTTGACCAGATATAAGAAAAAATGACTTTTTAAGGGACTTGAGGCATTTAGTATTAATATATTTTACGTGTAATTGATAGACAGGAAACTTGATTGGCTTTGATATATGTAATAAGTAGCTAACCTTGTACGGTGGGGACTTCCCTGTTGAAGAAGAGAAATTTCAGATGCAATTACTAGCTGATTCTAGGGAATTTTGTACAAAAGAGTTCTATATTACTCACATACACCGGGGGTTTTTTAAGCAGATGTCACAACTGTAAAAAAGGGGTATCATTTTAGTCAATTATTTAGCAAGCAGGGTTTTTTTCCCCCTCAGTAATTTCTTCCTAGTACTGGCCAAAATTGACAGTAATAACAAAGCAAGATGAAGGCATATCTGTGTCTTTGTCATGCATTCCCCCACTCCAAACAAGTAGTTTCCAAGGAGTTCATGTAAACTGTTAAGCTCTGTTGTCATCAGTGTAGACCCTCATGCATGTAAAATGTGTGGTATTTTTTCTTCTTACCTTCAGTAGGCTCAGAATTTGGTAAGACAGGTATGTTTTTATGACACCACACACCTATTTAAAAGCAATAGCAAGGTAGTAAAAACCTGAGTATGTTTTTGCTCTGCTTATTAATAACAAAAACTGTAGGCTATACTATTAGTATTTAGAAAGATACTATATAGAAATAATATATAGTTTTAGAGGAATTAAAAAAAAAGATTACTTACAGTTTAACAGCATAGCTAAGTAGCATTTGGGATTTTTATGTTAAAGTAACACTCCCTTTATCTGAAAATTACAGCTTTTAGACAATGAAACTTCACTTCAAGCTCTTATCTGCAACCTACAAGATGAAAACAGGATGTTAAAACAAAAAGTAGCTCACGTGAGTACTTTCATTCTGTACAAGATTAAGATTTGATTGAGTATTGCTGAATTACAGTAAATTTGGCATAGGTAAGACCTGGTTAATCTAATTAAATGACAGTTTAATGCGAGTCCAAAATTTTTCTTAGTCCTTTCAACACAGCACATTGTCTTTGTTCCCTTAGCTAAGAACAACTTATTACATTGTTTTTAATGTATTGGGGTTTTGTTATTAAAAATACACTGCAGAAGAAAATTTTTGTGTTCCTTCCATGCATCAGTATTGCACCCCAGGAGAACAGCACCAGGGCCACGGTGACTGCCAACGCCCGCCATTCCATATTATTTAATACCGTCCCTATGGACTGGCGAACGGGGAAGGCTGCCCATGAAGAGCCTAGCTTACAGCACGATAATCTTCTGCTCACCTGTAAAGCGGCTCAACCACACTCAGCGGTTGAGTCAGCATATTATATTGTCTTCTAGAGAATTTTGGTCCTGCACATATAGACAGTCTGTGAAAGCTTGGAAGTTTTTGTCTTCATGACTCTTCTGGGTAATCTTTCAGGTGGAAGACTTAAATGCAAAATGGCAGAAATACGATGCGAGTAGGGATGAGTATGTGAAGCGACTCCACTTGCAGCTAAAAGAGATGAAGTCTCAACTGGAGCAGCAGCATGGTGTAACTTCAGCACAAACGAATTCTGACCTGATGCACAAGGAGATATTCCGGTTAAACAAGCTACTGGAGGAAAAAATGAATGAATGCATAAAAACAAAGAGAGAATTAGAAGATGTGAAGAAGGCTAGTGAAGGAGATAATGAGCGCATACAAATGCTGGAGCAACAGGTCATTAAGTTTCTTTTTCCTAGAGGTGGGAATTCTTAGTTTCTCCCCAGATCACTGAAGTCCCAGGGGGAAAAATGAATTATTTCTTTTGACATTTGCCACTTGTCTTGCCACATTTGGCTATACAGATACTTAACAACACAGATTTAAAGGAAACTCACTACTTAAAGAACTGCATGCAGTTCTGCTGGATTTAATACAAAATATGAAAGGTCTGAAAAAGAAATACAAATACCTTTAAAGTATCAGATATGGTAGAGAAGATAATATTGAGATCCTCAGAATGAGTATTTACAAAGGAATCACAGCCTCAACTTTTTAGTCTAACCTTCCAATGCTCTAATTTATAAAATATTAACATAATAATTATGTTTCAGGTCCTAGTTTATAAAGATGATTTCACATCTGAGAGATCAGACAGAGAACGAGCACAGAGTAAAATACAAGAGCTTCAGGCAGAAGTTGCATGTCTGCAACACCAGCTAGCAAGAAGACAGGTAAGGAAGCAACATCCTACTTTTTCAATTAAACACGTCAACAGGATTCAGGACTAAAATATACCTTTAAATAGATTTTAAAAAAATTTAGTACTTCTAAAACCATTTCAGCTCAGGGCAGCTATCAAAACTGACATTATTTCATAGTCAGTTCTAGTGGAGATGTTTCCCAATACACAGGTAATACCCCTTTCCAGTCTGCTTCCCTTCTATTTTGGATCAACATATAATAAGGGTGAATTCTTAGAAGCAAGAGAAGGATGGCCATGACGCTTGTAACAGTGGCATCTTTAAAGTAGCATACTGGCTATATTCTGTGTTTTCTACAAGCCTTCTATTACAACTATATTAATAAAACTGCAAAAACTGATGCGTATTTTATTTACAAATCTTCTGATAAAAACATGAGCAGTGTTTCAGATAAAGGTGATGAAATAGTCTGTTAAAGAATATCTTTTTACTTCATCTTTTTCAAGAGCTCTTCTTTCTCTTTCTAGGACTCAAGAGACACAAGTAGTCATTTCAGAGTTCACATTGGTAACCAAAATCATATGTACGTACAGACGAACGTTGAACATCTACGAGGCAATAGCCCAGGCCAAACAGGCTTGAGAAGAACATCTTCACAGTCTGAACAAGCTTCTCCTCCTGCCAACAATGGAAACTCAGGATCCGAGGGCAGGGCACAGGGTGAACTTAGATGCCCTCATTGTATGAGGTTTTTCAGTGATGAACTCAGTGATGAATTCCTCAAGCATGTTGCTGAATGTTGTCAGTGACCACGTGACGTGAAGCATGTAAGTTGATCACTACTTTATAGACAGTAAAACTCTTAGGAATTAGGAGGATGAACAATATCTACCTCTTATTTGATTTCACCTTCTCTTGGACTGTATGAAAGACTTCAAGATAAAGCAAAGTGTTTTTATGAAGAACTATTTTTAACAACTGTGAGGAAGGCAAGAATAATGCAAATTCTACTACAAACTAAACTGAAACTTACAGTGGTAGTTAGCTTCAGAGTGCAGCTTGACTTGTGTTTGAGTCTAATTCTTCACAGCAGTCTGAAGTCTTGTGAAAAAAATTACTGAACCTGAAATTTTCCTCCTCTTCCAAAAACGTAGGCTGAAGAACGGGGGAGAAGCATTTTGGCAGAAGATAGATAGGAAAAAATCTTATTGTGCTTTATCTGGATTAAAAGCGAAAGTATTTTCTTCTCAGTCTACTGAGGCTGAACTTTCAGACATCTCATCCGAAAATCCTTGTGTTCCACTGAAATCAGGAGAAGTGAAGAAAATGTAAAAGGGCTGGTTATTGACTAAAACTAGCCTGTCTTCTTGCACAGAAACAATGTACAGGGATATTTATTTTTTTCTGTGCGATAAGTAACTATTTTACACATTTGTAAATGTGTATTTGTGTAATTATTGACTGTATTCCTATTTTACCTAAGGACTATTTTTATAATAAAAGTGGTTGTGCAGTTGTTTTACTACATTAGTAAAGTGGTCAAAAATCTCTCTTTCAGTGTAAGTATTTAAATGTGAAATAGTCCCAGTAACTATACTAAGGGCTAACTAAATGTCATGGTTTCAGATTAAGAGTTATTTCATTACTTCAGTGATAACCAGTGTCTCAGACTATTTTCACATATGTTGAAAAATCACTCATTTACGTGAGGAAGAATGACCTTTCAGATGCATGAGAGCACATTAACGCCCTACCCTACCACACGTCTGTGATGATGCCAGTGCTAGCTTAAACGTCTTCTTACCCTACTTACACTGGCAGTAACTTCAACAAATCACAGAGGGCTGTTTTGAGAAGTATCAGAAGTTACAGTGTACAAATGTAACAGAGCCACGGGTTTTTTTCAGCCTTGGCTCCAAGTGTTTCTCACCATGTCAGAGCTGGAGTTAAGGATGGGATACAAAATAAAGGGTTACTGCAACCAGGACCTTTCATAATTAAAAAAATGTACTTTGTGTAACAACACTCCTGTCTTCTGCTTTGCTTCCTTCCCAGTACTACACTTTAGGAAGATTTTCCTTGATGTTTCCTGTTCAGGATCCTGTTGCAGCCCCAAAGAAAGACGATGGTTTATGCCAATGTTGTCTTAGGTGGGATATTGCCAAAAAAGATGCATGGGCCATTGCATGGCAGTGTGCAGGTGCAATTGTTCTTATTAATCTAATCTTTAACTGATTGCAAACCTGTGATTGATTACCAGCTGCTTGTTCCCAACACAACATGCACAAACATGCAGAGATTTTTATTTTTTTCTTCTTTTTTTAGTGACCATTTTATACATTGCCTTTTAAGGTCTTAGAGATCAGATGCAGCCCACAGAATATAGGCTGAGAAACATATGATTAAACTTCCTGTGGCATAAGCTAATCTTACTGTTTCTGACTGTTCTCATTAGACAAACCTTGTTTACAGCTTCAGTGTACATCAATACTGTATCACCAGTGATTGATACAGCAGAATATGGACTTTTTTTTTTAGTGATTCACATTACAAGACAGTTACAAACACAACAATAAAGTGAGTTAGATCTTGGCAGTGGGTTTTTTTTTTTTATTGCATTGAGATAATCACTGCTTTAATATACATCAGAAGCTCACGCCTGCTATAGGTTTCCCCTCTTGTTAATCCCTGTGGGTACAGTGGGACAGACTGACCTACAACTATTAGAAATAGATGCAAGAATTAGATATGAGAATCTGCAGTCTGCAGTACCCAGAAATTAGTAGTACCTATTCTTGTGGGTTAGTGCCCAGTCAAAGCAGAAATTAGTATGAGTCCTGGCAAAGGAGGGCACTTCAGTGCTGGGAAACTGGATATACCTACAACGAGGACCACACTGGACCAACAGGCACAAACAGGTGAAGTTACAGATCATGCACAGATCACAGCTACCACCCAAAGCTGTGCAATAAATGATGACTGGAATTTGAATACCCATTGGCAAAAATCTAGGACAGATCTGCTGTTTTTCAGTATAAAACCACCTCACTTCAGAGCTATTTTACTTTACCTTTTCCTACTGAGTTTTATTTTTGTAGCTGGTAAAAAGCCTTACTTATTTCTTGTTTTGGCTTAACCAAGAAATCGGTTACACACACTACGAAGAACTACCAGTGTCTTACATGCAAATGTTTGTCTCAGATTATAGGGCATAAACTATTCCTCCTAAGAGGACTTGTCTATTACCCAGTGCTTTGACTTTTCCAAAATGACTGGTAGATGTCCTGAAGAAACACTATAAGATCTTTACATGCCCTCTCCTCGCCAATCAAAGCATACACATCAAGGCATCCCAAGCAATTACCACGACCACCACCTACATTCACAGTTCAGGTTCCTCAACTTGTAGACCAGAATGCATAAAACCTGTCAGCTCCACTGCCCCAACACTGAAGTGAAAGCAGCCATGAGCTTCCAGGATTTTTTTGAACCCTTTACATTAAGGAGAGCTCCTTCTGGCCTCACACTGGTGTTCTCTACCACTTGGATGGCTGTCCAAGTTGTGCATGTCTTGTTTGGTTAAACAGTAAAAGTAACCCAGTTCCTTTCCCAAAAGAAAGCAATAAAGGCATATGAGTAAGAAAGTAACTGCATAAAATGAAAGGAACTTCAATAGCATAAACTTTATGAACTTTCGTTATCCATTTGTACTACACTTGTTCACTGAAACACACATCATCTGTAAAACTGCAGAAACAAGTCCTCACACAAGAGACTCTTAAAACGATACAGAAAAACTATGTGACCATATGGGACCTGGTTCCTTATTTGCTGTATTGGTAACAAAAGGCATCCAAGATAACTGAACCCTGTTATCAGGCAAAGTTAATGCTCATTTCGGCTTCTGTAAACCTCTCACTGCTGGTGAGCAATGCCCGTACTGGAGAGGCATGCCAATACTAGAAGAAATACAGAGGTACCTCTGTAAGTCCAGGGAGGCTGGGAGGAGGCAGGATAACTGTCTCTTCTGGCACTTGCAGGAATGTGTCTTCGCATGTTAAGAGCTGCCAAGATGTATTTGACCGATTACCTTCATGATTAGTCCATCCCTTCTCCTAAAATTTCTCCCTCATTAAATTACCTTCCCTCAGTTTTGCTCCCCAAACCAGCCTGAGTTCAGACCCAGGACGAGCTCAGAGCTCCCAAGCAGCTGTCTCACCAACAATGAGGTTTTCAGACCATGTATCCTCCAAGTGCTGACAAGCTGGTTCTCATTAGTCCTGGACCTAATTATAATGTATTTTGATTGGGATTTTAAAGTAAATGCTGTTTACTAATAACTATGCTGGTTGCCATGCAGAAGCAGGCCCTTGGCACACAACCACGACAGCAACTGTGGGCTAGACTAACTCACTGAATCTCAGAAAGTACAACTGGGAGAAGCCTCAGAAGTTGGTCCCCTCCCCAAAAAGCCCCAAGGGAGAGAAGATCAACAATAATGCTGTCTTCTGTAGCATGGGCAGCATAGAGCCTAAAAAGCTTCTCAAATCTTCTGCAACTTTTAAGGCAATGCCTGCTTCCCCCTCCAATGATTTAGGACATCACGTCTTTTAAAACAAACCTTAAATGATGCCTCAAGATTAAGTGCTCACTAATAATAAAACCGACTACAAGAATAAAATTTTTTCAAGAATAAGATACCTATGCTCTATGGTATTTTTTTTAAACTTCCATTTCCTGTGGCTTCGCTGCATGTGTATATATAGAAAGCAAGGGAAATTCCAAACAAGATGCCACACCATTATACTCAGAACAGCAGTGCTTCTCATTCTAAAAAAAGGGAAGTCTCAAATGCTTTTTCTACAAAATCTATGTGAATTCAAAGTATGCTGTAGTAATATTTCCTAGTACCATGCTCCAGTAGCTACTAGCTGGGGGGCGGGGGGGTTCAGCTAAAAACCTAAAGCATAAGAAATACTTACAAGGCACTAGGTCAACCCAGCAGGACCTCAGCAGAGGGATGGGGTTATCAGGTTAAGCACTCCTGCCTTCTCACCCGATGCTGCAAATTGCTCACTAAGGGCAGAGCGCAGCCCAGCACCCTCACTGAAGTGTTCCCTGCCACGGGCCGTCCTAGCTGGAGGGTCAGAGCTCCAACAAGGTTGGGTGGGGGTTTACAAGGTGCTGCAGCAACTGCTGAAACAGGGGCTCTTGAAAGGCACCAACTATCCCAAGTGGCACAGCCTCCATTCCTGCTGCTGCTCAGTGCATTCTTCCCCTTTCTCTTTAGTACGTCCACTTTTTCCTCTTTTTCCTCCTTTTTTACATTTACTGGTAAGAAGCTGTTGGTGCAGGAACTCCTCACAATATGCACTGGATGTATGGCATCCATAGTAGCCCATAGCATCCCTCAGGAACTGGAGATATTTCCATAGCACATGGAGCTCCACTGCGAACAGCACTGAACTAGATGGCGGGTTACGAGACACCTTGTTTCTAGAAGGCACAACCCCCCCACCCCCCAAAACACATGAAGCTTGTACTTGGCTTAACCGCGCTTGTTCCCCTGACTGTCCTTCCCCAGGCCGGTCCTCCAGCACGTCTTCTGGAGACCTGGTTGATGGATGGACTGAGCAGCGAGCAGGGCAGCTCTGGCTGCTCGTGCTGACGCCCACCTCCTCGGTGTCACACGAACTCACCTTGCCTGAGGCTTTCGCACTCTAATTTCTCAAGGAGTGGGAGGGAGAAAAGAGCAGTGGGACCCAGCTGTGCAGCACTTGCAGATCCACCTCCATCCCCTCCCTATCACCGCTGCACCCTTCTCTCCCCGCCTCCCCCACCCTGCATTCACCCAACCTCTTTGTCAAATCTGTCTCCATATAGAAAAAGCATGTGTGTTTGTCGGTTGTTCTTTTAAATTGCCGAGAGATAGACACCTTCTTGGTTACATGCAAATATCACAGGCAGTTTTCACAAGAGGGGCACGTGTGTTACCAGGCAAGCCTGGTGTCTGCCCCGCCAGCTCTTCGGCCAGCACTAGCACACCTCATACCTTGCTGAGCTGCTGGGTTCCTGCTGCAGCCAGGCTTCCTCCAGCCACATCCCAAACCTCCCCTGCACGGCCCAAACCAGCATGGCTGAATGGGACAGTGGGTTTCACAGCTCAGCGTCCTGCTCCACAGCAGTCCAGAC